TAAATAGTTTATACCTAGAATCAGTAAGCGATATAACATTATAACAAAAAAAAAAAAAAATATTACACTTGCATTATTTTAAATATTTTAATCTCTTTATTTTCTTGTGTATGTACATATCGCTCATGTCTGTGGAGTAAACATTATAATAAATATAATTAATGAATTGATTTTATTAATCCTTTAATTTGTTAAAAATTATGTATATTATATATATTTTTTTTATTAAAATAGGAGATAATGTTCAACTCTTTAGCCTGCTTCCTGTATTTAAGCTCAGCATCCTATTTAGCATTTGCTACAAAATTATATCTAATGCCTGAGTATTATGTGAGACCCGGTTTCGACGTTTATCCTGCTATGACAGCTGCTTATGTAAGTTGATTATTGCATTAATAAATCATGAATTCAACGCTTTCACTGATGTGCGTCATTATTTTTGTTTTCACACATTATGAGACAAGAAAAATTATAATTTTTGTTAAATAATCCTAAATATCTAATGTAGCATATGTCTGTGTTGAACAATGAAGCAAAAATTACATTAATAAAAAAGGATTATAATGTTGATTCTATGGAACAAAAACATTTGATCACACATCGTAGTATTTTATTCAAAGGAATATTAAAAATAAAATTTATATTGCAGATCTTAAGTGGTATTGTGGGAGTATTGCACGGAGCAGATGCATATTTATCCTTCATGCATTACAAAACTGGAAGATAAATCATGGTAATATGCCAATAGTATAATTTTGTGAGGAAAAGTGGCAATTATATAAATATTAAACAACCCTAGACAAATATTCAGATAAACACAAGTCTTGTCGAAGAATAATAGAATAAAATAAGAATCGAAAAGACTTTGATTTTTTATCATATAATATAACTATTTTTTTTAATGATTAATGTAAATGAATACATTTAGATTAAATTACATAAGAAATTTTTTTCTCATAGAGATATGTGTCTATTAATAATAATTGTTTTTTAATTATATTAATAAAAAATATAGAGAACAAATATTCAGTATAGTATTCTTTTAGCTATATTTTCGTTACACACTTACACCCTCCAATGGCGCTGCGCACGTTGAGAGATAAGAGTAAAAAGAAACAGAGGAACTTTATATACTTAGCAGACGAATTTAATATCTTTTATTTTTTATTATTGCAATCGTTGGGCAAATTTAGGAAGATATTCTCATAATTTAGGAAATAATAGTTTATTTATAATTAATGAAAATTAATTGAGCATATTTTTCACACATGGTGAAACTGCCCAGTAAACGCACATATACATGGACGTAAGAAATATCTGGACAGAGCGTAAGGTATCCTTTTAGACGCGGGGAGTTGAGTCTGAAAGGGTGAGGGGTCCATCATCGCGGTCATCTTAGAGGTCAGATATTTTGCGTCTACTTTCACATCGCGCCGTATTAATTCGACGTTAACAGAGATATTGCAACGATCGCATTCCGTGAAATTATCCGCCGCCGCTATCTTACATCTATGCATACAAATATGTAACTTGATTTTCAGATATTAAATTTATTTAATTATTACAATGAAATTATTATTTCTCAAACGTTGAAAACATTACAGACGTGTTTCCCAAGTGATTTCACGTTGATTAAAATAAAAAAAGGACTTTTTTTAATTTATGCTTGCTAACTATATATGCTCCATGGACATCAGAAATATCTAGACGGAGCGTATTGCCGCGGGGTTGAAGACAAAGCTAGCATTAAGAAAAAAATAGCCACATTTTCTCAGCTTTAGCGTCAAGCTGTGTTGTTGGCCGTATAACGAGTCAACTTCGTTCATCTAGTGCCAAATTAACACAAAAAAGAAACAGTGCTGCATCGTGCCACAAGAAAATACAAATGGAAAGAAATTAAAATGGAATTTTAATATAAAATAAAATATTACTTGTTTAATTAATTTAAACTTTTATTTTGAATTAATTAATTAATTATTTTTTTATTATTCAAAAGCAAAATATAAAAAATAAGAATGCAGAATATATATTTTCTCATTGATTTGGATGAAACTTCATATTGCATATTGTGATGAGTAGAATACGAAAATAATAATTGAATTTGTTATCCAATATTATAAAAAGAGTAATGAATTAAAGATAAAATTTCTTGAGGTTAGGAAGTTTATCAGAGAGAATCGGCATTATTGTATTTATTTAATGCAAGATCTACATATATCTTTCGTAGTAGTACTATTTCCAATATTAATGATAGAGAGAATAGCAGCAGTAATATTTGCGAGAATAATGAAGATAGTCAAGATACGAGTATATCAGGAGGTATTAAATAATTATCTATATAGAGGTATTTAAATATATTATTTTCGAATTAAATATTTTCCAAATTAAAATTTTATTGTTTTTTAAAAATGATCGTATAAGAAAGAAAAGGCGTACGTCAGAACACGACAACCATTTGGAACGCATAACAAATGCGTTAAGCCGATCGCTTCCTAATGTTATTCTTCAACACCACCTGAAGAAGACTATATAGATGCATTTTTGAAGTTATTTGGGTATAATTTAAAAAGATTATCACCAGAGAAACAAGATGAATGGATACAATATGGATATTTGCAACAATCTTACGAAATGTTAAAAGATAATTCTTAAAATATTAATAATATTTTCCTTTTTTTAAATATTCTATCGTTTATATTTTATTTTTTGATAAATGATTAATAATATAATAATATAGTTAATAATATATATTATAATTAATAGTTAATAATTCTAATTAATATATAATAATAGTTATACTAGTAAAATAATATATAACATGTAATATCATATACAAAGTATCCTAAAACTTCCTCTTAATGATAGATTCCTTAGAACATTTCAAGACGAAAATCCTAGTCGAAGCTATAATACCCAGCAAACACAGAATATAACTGTTATGTAACACAGAAATAACACGTAATATAATGGCTGTTACACGTTATTAACATTGTGATTACATAATTTTTTTTATAACTATAATATAACTGTGTTTTAAACCTGTTTTATAGCTATGCTATTTACTGGTTATAACAGTATCACAGCTATATAACTGGAACATAATACATAATATTACAAATGCTATGTTATGATTACTTTGATGTTGTATAATGTGTTATATATAAATGCTATATTCATGTTATGTTATATATATATGTAAAGTGCTTGTCGAATGTTTCGTTTCCACTTGACGTTACAAATTGTTTCAAAGCTTTTCTCTTCTCCTTGTTTATTAAAAAAGAAAGGAATTATTAATCCTAACTTAAGTTTTCCGGCGTACACACGTTATATTCACATGTTGCGTGCGCTTCTCGTTTTTTACGCGCGCAACGGCTACTACATCTATAATTGGTTTTCGAGCGACTCTCGCGCTCACGGTAGTGTCATGTGATGCCATAATTGACCCTGATTGGCTCATGCTAGAAAGCGACCTGTACCCTATACTGGCAACTGCTCGTAGCAACAATAAATTGAACATTGAATTACGAGACAAGACGGCGCATATTTTGTGTGTATCTATCGTTGTCTGCGGTCACGATTCGCGATCTGACTTGTGTTCTATTTGTGTTTGATCTGTACTCGTACAACTTCGCCGCTATTACGTGTGTCAGTTCATCGTATCTTCAAGTAAAGAAGAATAATATATAAGACAAATAAGAAGTTAGTACACGTGGTGTTCTTTGGCTTTCTTCCCGCTCTCCGTTCAGGTTCAGGTTGCGATCATGTAAGTAATTATGTCTCAATTTACATCGATTATCGATATATGTACGTAAGTCAACAAAAATATTGCGGCATACATTTAATTTTCTTAATGTTTTTGTTCTTCCTATTATCAAATTTAAGAAATTAGGCTCTCGAGTGAACTCACAAATTCAAATAAATTTCGTGCCCTGTGCACATATTCAGTTTCATAGAAAACTTATTTTTCTATGAAACTGACGCACTGCCATCCGCGTTCTGGCTCTTACTAGCCCGCGATTATTTGAATTTGTGAGTTCACTCGAGAGCCTAATTTCTTAAATTTGTTAGTTCACGCCGGCTGAAAGATGGCGTTAATAGTAATAGATATTATAAGGCAAATGAGAAGTATCGGTGGTGTGGGGTCTGAATAGCTCAGAGGTAAGAGCAGTCGCCCGGCAAGCGAAAGACTCGGGTTCGATTCCCGATTCAGCGACTTCGCCCCGATATTTTTCTCGCCTTCGTCTCTCCAGGGGGGTAAAGAGGGATTATTATAAATCTCGAATTGAGATTAATTTTTAAAAAAATCTTGGTATACACCAAGTAAATTTCGTGCCCTGTGCACATATTCAGTTTCATAGAAAACTTATTTTTCTATGAAACTGACGCACTGCCATCCGCGTTCTGGCTCTTACTAGCCCGCGATTATTTGAATTTGTGAGTTCACTCGAGAGCCTAATTTCTTAAATTTGTTAGTTCACGCCGGCTGAAAGATGGCGTTAATAGTAATAGATATTATAAGGCAAATGAGAAGTATCGGTGGTGTGGGGTCTGAATAGCTCAGAGGTAAGAGCAGTCGCCCGGCAAGCGAAAGACTCGGGTTCGATTCCCGATTCAGCGACTTCGCCCCGATATTTTTCTCGCCTTCGTCTCTCCAGGGGGGTAAAGAGGGATTATTATAAATCTCGAATTGAGATTAATTTTTAAAAAAATCTTGGTATACACCAAGTAAATTTCGTGCCCTGTGCACATATTCAGTTTCATAGAAAACTTATTTTTCTATGAAACTGACGCACTGCCATCCGCGTTCTGGCTCTTACTAGCCCGCGATTATTTGAATTTGTGAGTTCACTCGAGAGCCTAATTTCTTAAATTTGTTAGTTCACGCCGGCTGAAAGATGGCGTTAATAGTAATAGATATTATAAGGCAAATGAGAAGTATCGGTGGTGTGGGGTCTGAATAGCTCAGAGGTAAGAGCAGTCGCCCGGCAAGCGAAAGACTCGGGTTCGATTCCCGATTCAGCGACTTCGCCCCGATATTTTTCTCGCCTTCGTCTCTCCAGGGGGGTAAAGAGGGATTATTATAAATCTCGAATTGAGATTAATTTTTAAAAAAATCTTGGTATACACCAAGTAAATTTCGTGCCCTGTGCACATATTCAGTTTCATAGAAAACTTATTTTTCTATGAAACTGACGCACTGCCATCCGCGTTCTGGCTCTTACTAGCCCGCGATTATTTGAATTTGTGAGTTCACTCGAGAGCCTAATTTCTTAAATTTGTTAGTTCACGCCGGCTGAAAGATGGCGTTAATAGTAATAGATATTATAAGGCAAATGAGAAGTATCGGTGGTGTGGGGTCTGAATAGCTCAGAGGTAAGAGCAGTCGCCCGGCAAGCGAAAGACTCGGGTTCGATTCCCGATTCAGCGACTTCGCCCCGATATTTTTCTCGCCTTCGTCTCTCCAGGGGGGTAAAGAGGGATTATTATAAATCTCGAATTGAGATTAATTTTTAAAAAAATCTTGGTATACACCAAGTAAATTTCGTGCCCTGTGCACATATTCAGTTTCATAGAAAACTTATTTTTCTATGAAACTGACGCACTGCCATCCGCGTTCTGGCTCTTACTAGCCCGCGATTATTTGAATTTGTGAGTTCACTCGAGAGCCTAATTTCTTAAATTTGTTAGTTCACGCCGGCTGAAAGATGGCGTTAATAGTAATAGATATTATAAGGCAAATGAGAAGTATCGGTGGTGTGGGGTCTGAATAGCTCAGAGGTAAGAGCAGTCGCCCGGCAAGCGAAAGACTCGGGTTCGATTCCCGATTCAGCGACTTCGCCCCGATATTTTTCTCGCCTTCGTCTCTCCAGGGGGGTAAAGAGGGATTATTATA